AACAGTGAAGTACATGCAAATAATAAAAATACATAAAGATTTGGACATGTCAAAGAGACTTGATGGCTGATTGTAAAATGCTTTTGAAGGTGTTTAGACGTGAGTTAAAGATATCAATTTGAGGACATTTAGCTGAAAATTCATTAAAAGTACGACACATATGAATAAGCGGGTTATAATATGATGTATTGTTCTTATAAACGTAGAGTGTGCTTCAGACATTCTTTCTTTTACTCTCTTTTCTAACTCACTTTATTATTTGACCACATACATATATAAGATATCCTGTCTATAATTATGGATACTGACGTACAGGTTAGAACATAACCTATTAGTGTTCAAAATTTTTCCTTGTTTAGCCATTTAAGCAGATCTGAATAATAAACATCCAAACAACAAACCAGAGGGAGACTTTGTACAAAAGTCGATTGCTTGGGTACCTCTGTCCCATTCGTGTTTCAACCGTGAAGCAGTTGTGTTTGCATGGCTGTGTTTCGGTTTGAAGGGTGGGATATGGCGTGAATTTACTGGGTACAGAGGAATAACACCTGAGTCCTCAGGAATGGCAACGCATGGGGGATATCATGGGCGAAACAGTATACTCTGTTACGTCCATGGTACTGCTCATATCTATAGGCGACGGTTACCACTTTCCATCAGGTGGGCCGTCAGCTTGTTTGCCACTCTAAGTTTTATAAAAAAAAAAAAAATTACAAACTTTCACATCTATACTATTATAAAATTTAATTTATTTAAAGACAAAACATGTTTGTTTACACATATATTTATAGAGGTAATACGGTCAATTAATTCATTTAAAAATTTGGTATAAAATATTTTATTTATTTACTTATACTTTTCAGTTACTAAAAGTAAATAATGGTTTTTTAAATAAATGTTTACAAAATAGGCAATTAAGATTTGCATAATTGCGAATCCTTACAGTGTTGTCTTTTTTCGTTAAAGGAAAAAATATTTCAACTAAACCGTACCATAATGCAGTGTGACGATATCACGGTACTCTCACGATTCCAAAGGACCGAAGGTCCAGTGACCTACAAGGTAAAAGCAACCCCATTTCCTTAATGGCTTTAATGAATATTCCAAAGCATTAACTGTATACGGAACACATTACTGAATTATCAGCAATGACTAGACCGTATCGGTACTACGCCATTAGCACGTTTTTTCCAGTAACCGTAGGAAAAAAAAAACTTTTACTGATAAACCAAAATCTACCCAAAGATTTGTGCATTAAGATCGTCATTAGAACGTAGATAAGTGATTTCTTTTGCAGAATCCAAATGCATCAGAATCACATTTGTAATTTTGCAAAAAGTAAGCGCATGACTTGTAATAAGTATGTTTCGTAACATGCTCCGGATAGAGCATAATATGTCGGGTCAAAAGCTATACGATGTATCCAACATTCACTTTCTATTCCGTGCGAATTATAATCATTATTTTTTGTAACATGTCAGAGAGTCGACGGCTTGGTTTACTTCTATTGTAATTATAATTTGGTAGTTTGGATGTCTCAGTAAAGATCTAGACTTAATTCAGAATAAAGGTCTAGATTTTATAGGTTACTATATAATGTTAGAATGAAATAAATTAGGACGTATTTGTTGAATGGATTAAAAGTAATCTTTGTCATTTGTAGAATGAAAAGGTAGAAAGATTACTTTAATCCCATTTTGTAGAATTCTTGTTTTCATTTAATTGACACAAAAATCTTTCACATTTATCGATTATATTGTGTATAATTAATGATATATTAAAGTAATTTACATTAATAAAATGTACTAATATTAATTAGTCAGGACACATGATCAGAATTTTAATTAAATTTATAAATGATGTATAAAAAAAACTGTACAGCGTAAAGTAATGATTAATTTTCTATTGACATTTGGGCTGTTTTCTCGACTTTGATTTGCTATACTATCTATCTCTTTAAATCCCTAAGAGAAGGATTTTCTAATAGAGAACTGTGTATTAAAAATGTTTCATCATACCTATACTCGTATTTACGGGATGACCTTTATTGATTTTCATCAAGTTTGTAGAATTACTTCATAAATTATTACTTTGTTGAGATGTTATAACAGCGTTGAATCTCATTCTTAAATGATTAAACATTCCATTTAGGATTTAGGTCTTTCAGAATTTACAGCTCAATTCATTTGATTCTCAGTTTTGTACAGCGTTAGGTATTTTATTTATTCTATAGTATTGTAAAGATATACTAGGTAGTATTTCAAATGAAATTAAATATAATCCAGTCCAGTCCAATCCAGTGTGTTTGTTAAGACGTATTATTTTTTTAAAATGCTCAAATAATTACTTGCTTTGGCAATGTGGGTTATTAATGTTTTTGAAATATATTTCGCTGTGTGTCTCGGCGTAGAATAGGCCATCTCTATCTTTTCCGTGGGTATCATATGAGACGACTTAGGGAACTTATGGTCAAGGGATGGGCAGCAGCGTACTTCTTAAAACTTTTTAGAAATCTAAAAGCCTAACCGCGGTTGCCAACTCGCGTAGCAACTGCTGACAAAACTCACCTTATGAGGAAGGCTTATGTTCAGCTGTAGTCAGTTAACGGTTGAAATAATAAAAAATATATATAAGCTTAAAAATTAAACTACTTGTCTTGATATTTAAAAAAAAAACGGTGTTATTACTGTTTTTAACGAGACAGTTAAAGGATAATAGTATGAAATAATATGGTGGCTATAAACTGTTAAAAACTTGGGAAATTTAACAGACGGTTTAATTGTGACATCATAACGCCCACTTATGTGACAAAACAAAGTGTTAATAATTTTATCCAGTCGCCTGACCAATTGTGTTTCATTGATATAAAAAATCGATACATTAATTCACACTTCAATGGAAAATTGTTTACAAAATGGACGATAAGCCGATTGAACGCAATTATATACATTTATCTGACCAAATCCGACCAAATACGAACGGTGCGTAATTAATGAGTATTTTCCCTACTCACTGCTAAATAACCTTCAGTCAACTGTAACTGTAACTTGTTGTAAAGGAAGGCTGGCATTTAATTATGTATGTGGTATATCGTTAGCGTGGGTGAAGGTGAATTTATGCCATGCGAGGAAATCCTCGTCTCCTCTAATTTTTGTTCAATACTACTTTGGTGAGGATGTCCTTTTTTAGTGTCAAGAGTTTCTAGGTAGCCTTCCCGGATGGCGGTGTAACGTGTTCTTTGAAGAACGAAGCAAGAAATAATTATTTTATTTCAAAATGTCATTTTTTAACTATATATATGTACTAGTGATCCGGTCTAGCTTTGTACGAGTAGACAGAATTATCGAAAATCAATATATGATAAAAAAAATTTCAGCCAATTAAACTGATCGGTTATTTTATAGTATTGTATATGGGATTCTTTTGTATTGTATATGTTTTTTTTTATTTATGAACCGATTGAAATAAAATAAACACTAAATGTTAAGTGGAACAAACCGCACCGTATTAGTTAAAGTCGCACATAAGCCGTTTCTAAAATAAGCGTGTATAAACGTACAGACATACAGATAAACAGAAAATTACAAATTTATTATGAGTATGGATGTGTGTGTGAGTTTATGTGTGTAAGTGTATGTTTGTGAGTGTATGCTTATGTTCGGCAGTGGACAGTTAAAGGCTGATATGATGATGGTGATGTGAACTAAGTCAAGGGTATAACTAGTAAAGTTACCAGAGGGAGACTTTGTACAAAAGTCGATTGCACGAGTCGATTGGGTACCTCTGTCCCATTCGTGTTTCAACCGTAAAGTAGTTGTGTTTGCATGGCTGTGTTTCGGTTTGAAGGGTGGGATATAGCGTGAATTTACTGGGTACAGAGGAATAACACCTGAGTCCTCAGGAATGGCAACGTATGGGGGGTATCATAGGCGAAACAGTATACTCTGTTATGTCTATGGTACTGCTCATGTCTATAGGCGACAGTTACCACTTTCCATCAGGTGGGCCGTCAGCTTGTTTTCCGTTCTAAGTAATATATAAAAAATCTACATATAGAATATAGTCTAATAAGAACCATCTCAATTTTCAAATGACCTAATCAATCACGAGTGAAATTTCAATTATGAAACTAAATAAGTTTATAAATTAAACATTGACCTCAGTGTCAAGACATGTCGGGTTAGATTATTGCGATATTAATAAAAGTTTTGCAATTTTGCACCTTTCAATATAGTTAAATTATCTGTTAAAAGTTTTGGACAGATTTTTTTATGCCGTTAAATAGTAAGATTTATCAATTTATTACACATCTCTGGCAACTTAGTTGACTTTGATTCGTTTTAATTCATATTAACTGGATATGATAAAGTCACACGTAACGTCTAAATGTGTGCAAGTTTTATATATTTTATATCTTCGTATTTACTTTATACAGTATAAACTCATTGTAGACTATTAAAAATTTATCAAGCTGTTTAGTTCATGTATTGATTAGCTACATTCATACAAGTACATGCATACATTTGATACATGCAACTACCAACGCAGGCGACTTTTGTACAAATTAATCCTCTGCTAAATATTAATTATTATCTGGTAATTATTTATTTGTGAATATAGTCCAAGTATCTATTCAATATGTAAGATATTATTATAACCTAACTGAGATCTTTGTTATCTCAACAATGTGAGATTGTAGTCTTTTATCAGATACTTAACCCATAAATGATGGTTGACATTATTTATGACCAAGTATTTTTATGTGATATTGATATGACTATTCCAGCATTTAATTTGCAAAAAAATACGAGCCAGATTCAATAAAGTACCATTCTATTGTAAATTAGATTATACAAAGATCAAGGGGATTGTTTTTATTTGAAACATATTAATTATACCAATAGAATAGTTTAAAATATTTACAATATTTTTCGTAATTTGCGGGTTGATTTTATCAAGATGTGAATCATGTTTATATATATGTCCAATCACTGATAAACAGGGTAGTTTCAAAGTAGTTTCTTTAGAAGAATAACGAATTACGCCGTAAGATGTCAGGATTGTGTTTCGAAGGTGAAATTGACAGTTTTTCTATACGTCAGCAGGAATTTCTGCGTAAAGTACTTCAAAATCGTGGATATACTGATAATAAAGTGATTATAGAAACAGTAGGCAAAGCAGGTGACAATTTCATAGCTAATGTAAAGAGAATTATTGTAGAGGATAAAGGTGGAAGTACATTCAAGATGATTGCAAAAGTAGCTCCAACCAACGAAAACGTACGCGTGCAAGTTCAAACACAGTTGCTTTTCAATCATGAAGGCATAATGTACACAGAAGTTCTTCCAAAATTATTGGATCTACAGAAATCGGCAGGCGTTCCAGCAGAAGACTGGCTAAAATTTGCTGAATGTTATGGAGTAATGTTAGACGCACCTGATGAAATTATTTTTCTAGAAGACTTACAAGATTTAAATTTTGTAATGCTTAGTAGATTCAAGTCTCTTTCAAATGAATGCATAAAGATAAATCTTAGAAATTTCGCAATTCTTCACTCTTTATCAATGGTATTAAAGAATCAGCAACCAGATGTATTCGAAGATTTTAATAGCAAACTTCCCGATCATTTCGCTGTTTTTGGCAACACACCAGAATATAAACAGTATATATTAGGCATAGAAAAAGATACAATTGAAATATTAGACGGAAGTAAATATAAGAATGCTATCCGTGGGACGATATCTCAAGTACCGGAAGTGTTTGCTAAGGTTTCAAAAAATGAAACTAAACTAAAATATTCGGTTGTAATACATGGCGACGGATGGACCAATAACATAATGTATAAATTAAGGGTAAGCCATATTATATTACGTATAAATTACCTTTACAAAATATTGCTTTTCTATGAAAAAAAGAAAACCAATAAATTAAATCAATTTTAATTTTACAGGAAGAGGTTTCAGTTCAAGCCATAATGATCGATTACCAATTGGCAAAAGTATCTAATCCGGTATGTGATATCCTTTACATGATATTCAATTGCACTGATTATGAAACTAGACGTGTCCATTATCATGATTGGATCGCTTACTACCATTTGCAACTGGAGAAGTCTTTAGCTCACTTCGGTTTAAAAGTAGAATATATATTTTCAAGAGATCAACTAGATGCCGACTTGAAGAGATATTCGAAATTATTCTTAGGTATTACCACATTGATGAGTACAATTTTGATAAGAAAATCCGAAGACGCTGCGAAGCTAAAAGATGCAATGCAAACGGAACTTGACGGGATGGAAGAGGCAATGGCAAAGATGCATATATCAAAATTGGATCGAGAATCCATTTTGATATTCAAAACAAGAATAGAAGGATTTGTAAATACCTATCGTGAACTTGGTTATATAGCTTGAATTTGAATCTTGTAATAACTTTATACTTTATACATGATACTTAATATATAAAAATCTCGAGTCATGATATTTGTTCTCCCCGTCGTCATCGAAACTGCTTAACTGATTTTATTAAAATTTTGTGAATGTGTATTATTTTTCTAGATATTTCGATAGGATCTATAGCTTTATCCTAATAACTGGTTTTCAATATTTTTACGGGACAAAATAACGTTTATCCGTTTATCTAGTATTTTCAACCGACTTCAAAAAGAAGGAACTTCTCAATTCGGTTGTACATTTTTTCATGTTTATTATTTCATAACTCCGTTAAGTGTAAACAGATTTGGAATTTTTTTTTTTATTTAAATGGCTATGTTTATAGATGGGTATCCTAGATATTTAATCAAAATCGGTATAGGAGTTTAGTTTTTTTTAATCAAAATAACTGGTATTGCTACAATTGAAGTAGTTTTTTGTGGAATACATTTTATTACACAAATAAGTACTAGTACTGAATATCAATATAATAACTCCTCAAAACAATAAAAATAAAATAATTATCCAGTAAGTTTTTGGAAACTAATTACTCAACAGTCAATGCGTCACAATGTTACTTATTTCACAAATACTTCAACGATTACATAAAATGTCGTTAACTAAACAAAGAATGACCACATTTCCTGTTTTTTAATCTCCCTACCGTTGTTTCTAGATAACTTATGTTTAGCGAGGTCAGATAATCAGGTTAGGTATGTATATCTAAATCATTTATGTGGTATAGCTATGGAGCATACACTTATGGTTTTTTTTAATACATGATAATGGAATAGTATCCCTGCCTGCGCTAAGTGAGAATGAAAAGGCAGGCCAGTTAGCTCATCGTGATGGATACACCTGGAACCACGTGGAGGTCGACCTGACAGGGTATATTTCCAGCAATAGGATTGGTAGTCCGTATTACTAACAATTCCTATCCTCCCCCTACACTATTGGTTTTATTTTTTGGTGGATGAAAATGGAATGGTAACCCCGCCTGCGCTAACGGGATACGCTGGCGGAACACCAGTGAAGGGTGATCGATGAGAATGAAAAGAGGCTAGTTAGCCCATCATGATGAATTCACCAGGAATTAACAATGATAGTTTCCAGGGGGAACCGCGAGGAGGTCGATGGGTTGGGTAGGCTGGTTGGGTATATTGCTAGCAATGGGATTCTCAGTCTCCATTACTAACAATCCCTTTCCCCCCACACTAATGGTTGCACTCATTAGTTTGTGTCGATTAACGAATGCAATTTTTAAATTTTATTATCAGGTGCATTTATGACATAATAAATCTTAGATTAGATATTAATAAATCTTAGTTTTATTAGTATTTTATTCTACGCCATATATTATTAAGTAATCCAATTAAACTAAAAAGAGAGAACACGTAAGAGGCTTTATCACTTTTTTATTTATAATACCATATACCATACATAGAATTTTTACTAAACTAATAAACGTGAAAGGAAGTTTGTTTATTTGTTACTTCCTTGGCACTTTATCAGCTTAACCTATCGCCATGTGGACTATTCGGGATACATTGTAATGTAATGTTTGTAATATTTAAATTAAAAAGGATTTAACCTATTTAATGAATTCTTTCATTTATAGAAAGCTGCATTATCAGCAAATAACATGGATTGTATTTTATTAAACAAAAAGTTGTGTAAAATCGTGGCGGCTTATTTATTTATTTATTTAAGGAACACCAACAGCATATTGCATTATAACATATAGGTATAACAACATTAAATACAATACAATATTAATGCACATGCCTATTATAGGTATTCACAGCATTCACTTTAACATAATTATACAGTGTAAGAAATTTAAGTAAATAACAAAAATAAACATGTAATCTAAGTTAGTGAGCAATATCAGAAAATAAGATTATGAGTGAATTAAATTAAAAAAAATATTAAAAAAATATATATTATGACGATTAGAGTTAATTTTCATAAGATTGTTGTTGCGGCTTGCTAGAAATATATATTTTAATGGTGTATTTTGCTTTAATTTCAAATTACTAATTTCTTTTTCGAACAAAATATTGATACTACATTGTTTAACAATCATTGTTCACTACTTGACGGAACTAATATATTGTCATTTACCACTTTCAGCCTTGTCAGCTTCCGTTCGCAAAACAACCTCTCACTTCACTATATAACCTTTGTTTAGTTTCGCAACTCGATTGTTTGAGGTAACTATGCTTCAATAGGAAAGGCATGCCATAGATTTCTTTATACCATAGATTGGTCGCCTAAGAAATTAATATCTTCTAGTTAAGACTAAAAAGTACTTAAGCTACTGTATTTATTCCCGCTGCTCTACTAGTATTTCGTTATTCTATGACAACTTATTATTACATTGCTGGAAATGTCTTTCCCCATAATTGTTTGAGTACGTTTTTTCGTTTTTTTTTTTGGAATGCAGTAAACCCCGTCTGCGCTATCAGTATACGGTGACAGGGCAACATTGAGAGATAGTGCGGATGCAGCCAGCCCAGTTGGCCCATCGTGATGGATTCCACGAGAATTAACCATAAATGGTTTCAGAGGGAATCTAGTGGAAATAGATCTAACACGGTATTTTGCTTGTAAGGGGGATTAAAAATGAGGATATTAGCAAAATTTTACTATGCTTATCGGTGTAATGTAATCAGGTATTTTTTCTTTAGTGCTGATACAATGTGCTGACAGCTTGTGATTGACAAGAAGTTTTGTATTTTTGCTAAGTCAACAGATAGACAATAATGCTCCCCCCATCAAAACATCTATAATGGAGAGAGATATAATGGGATTTATATGATATGGTTTCATTTCAGTGACAAAGATTTATTTTAAGGAGCAGACAAACAAAGAGATAAAATTTCTAAAAATAATTATTTTGGTTTCTATTACTACTGTTAACACTCTCGTCCATTTACTGTTATATTAGAAATAAGAATTTTCAACCAGTAGGGTTCACCTCGTCGTGTGGTCACGGCATAGAATTGGCCAAGCCTTTCTATAACGTGGGTGTCGTAAGAGGTGACTAAATTAATTTAATGGTCGAGGTATGAGCTTCAGCGGCTTCTTAAAATATCACCTAAGCCTAACTGCGGTTGCCAACCTGGCTGCCGAGCATAGCAACTATTGGCAAAACCCTCTAATAGGAGGAGGTATATGTTCAGCAGAGAACAGTTAACGGATGATATGACAATGATTATGAACAATTTAGTTACGATTAAAGTTACTGTATATGTCGACATTTGAGTCCGTGTTTTAAATTGAAAATTTGAGTATAATGTATCCATATAAATCATTACTAGATTATATAGAACTTTACTAGAATATACAAATTAACTGATCGAAATAAAAAATCTGTTAGTGTTATAAAGGAAACAAAACAGAGGGCGGTTATTAGTACTTGTAGTAACGCAGCACGATGCGAACTGCTGTGACCTCACGAGGTGAATGACCCACCAATACTATACAACCGTGTTACAATTACGCACGTGTTATGCTCGTCTCATACATACATACCTACCTATACAAGGCTATGTCGGTGCATTCAATAATGTATGTATATACATATTTGTAATTCATATTTTTCAATCAATTTGTCTCGCTATTCAAAAAGAATCAATACAGGTTTTATTCATGATATCAGACGTGTTATGGATACGCCAGTGTATTCTGTATTGCACGTCCATGGTGTTGCACGTCTTGTCTGTAGCGATGGTAATTACAAGCCATATAAAATACCTATAATATTATTTATTTACTTTTTTAATTGTTTTATAACGTTTTATTATTATTATTTATTCATTCTTTCATGCACCACTTAACGAATAATACACACACACATATGTATATATAATACATTTATGAAATATATACATCATCATCATCATCATCATATTAATACCTTTAACTATCCACTGCTGAAGATAAACCTCTCGCTTGGGGGGTTTTGCCAATAGTTGCAACGCTTGGCAGGCGGTTTGACAACTATATTTAGGCTTTTAACATGTTTTAAGAGGACCGTTGCTGTATATCTCTCGTCCCCCCTTAGTTGGCTCTAACGACACGCAGGGGAAAGGTAGAAGTGGCCTATTCTATTCAGGGACCACACAGCATAATGAAGTATAATAATGTCCAGCAATTATCATTATTATCCTGTTGGAAATTACTAGTATGTTATTTCGCTAAGGATCAAAAAAAGCAATGAAACATATTACGTGCATACTAAAGAAATGAATATTTTTTCATTCAATAAAATAAAGTAAATCCATCATCCCTCTCACAAATTGTTACGACAACCTAGTACGTTCTTCAAGATTTATCTCACCATAGTTAGAATTTGTGTAGATGACGTACACTTAACTCGCAAATAAAATGTTTCTCATCTGCATAGGAAATTAATATATAAGTTAAATTATTATTAAATACAATAAAACAAAGTCGCTTATTCGCTTATTTTAAACTAAATTTAATTTTGTTTTAACTGTCATTTATATATTTTCTTCCAAAAAGTTTATAATCGCTAATTTGAATAATGGAGTAAGCTTATCTAACGCCTGTGTTCTCCCGCGGATGCTGAGAAATTTCTGATATGCTATCTCTGACAGATGTATTATATATCCAATGCCTGATTTAGATTATACTTCTAGAGATGTTTACAAAAGAAAATTATTAATGTTTTGATAGCAAAAAGAACATTTGGCTTATCACTGACAGCTGATGCATTACGTGACAAGATTATATGGTTTCGGTTTTTACCCTCTTTGCAGCAAGTTTGACACTCGTACGAGACTTGTCATCATTGTAATAAGCCATTAATGTCCCACGGTTGGGCTTTTTAATGGACGATGTGATAGAATGATAATTCCCTCTGCAGGATGATAGTTTAGGACGAAAGTAAGTCAGTTAGCCCGTCATGACGATTGCATCTAGAGTTAATCACGATGTTAGAGGTGGACCTAACTTAATTTACCCCCTAACAGGGTATATTGGAGGCAAAGGGATTATTAGTAATAGGGTCTGATCTCCCTATAACTAGTAATACACCGTATCAGGTCGACCTCCACGCGGTTCCCCCTGGAAACTATAGTGATTAATTCTAGTGGAATTCGTCACGATTGGCCAAAAGACCTGCTATTTCATCCTCACCTGTCATCCCTCACTGGTGCCCCGCCAGCGTATGCTGATAGCGCATTACCATTCCATTATCATATATAAAAAAACAGGGTATATTAGTAATGGAGCTAGCGGCCTCATTGCTGGTAATATACACTAATAAGTCGACCTCAATGTGGTTCCCCTTGGAAACAATCTTGTTTAATTCATTATGAATTCCTCACTATAGGCCAACTGATCTGTTTTAATCTTCACTTATCTTACTGTCGCCCCGCCTGCGAATACCAATAGTGCAGGCTGGGTTACCATTTTACTTTCATTCAATTTAAAAAAATCTCCGTTACTGATCTCTTTTGTGCTATACAATCACAACAATCTCCTGGTCTGGGTGGAAAGGGATTGTTAGTAATGGAGACTGAGCATCCCATTGCTAGCAATATACCCAACCAGGTCGACCTCCTCGCGGTTCCCCCTGGAAACTATCATGGTTGATTCCTGATGAATTCATCATGATGGGCTAACTGGCCTGTTTTCATTCTCTTCTATCACCCTTCACTGGTGCTCCGTCAGTGTATCCCGTTAGCGCAGGCGGGGTGGTTACCATACCATTTTCACCCATAAAAAAACCAATCTCCTGGTTCTCAATTTAAGATATGTATTACGAGGAACCAAACCACTTCTTTTTCTAGGATGTAAACTTTTATCACGCTGTGGTATTTCGTATAGCAATCCGTGATTTTAAAGAAGCGAGCTAAGAAATAGACTGTTTTATACCATTAACAGATATACGTAACAAATTGCACTTTATAATGGATCCCAGTAGCAGTTATATTTAAAAATATATGCGTCAAATTGAATCATTTACTGACCTCATGCTTTTTATTTCGGTCATCAAAAAGCGGCAGCCTTTCTAGAGATTGTAAAATGCATAACTCTTGTCAGTGAGAGATAAAATTCATTATCCACTTAAGCGTAACTTGGCGAATCGTTGTAAGAAGTAGAAACCATTAAGTGTTCGAGAGATCAGTGAAAGGTGAGAACTTTGCAAAAATTTGGGTAAGTACCACATTAGTATATTATTATATCATCCTATCCGTTGCTGAACATAGGTCTCCTCTTATTGGAGGGTTTGCGATTAGTTGCCACCCTTGGCAAGCAGATTGGCAACCACAGTTAGGCTTTGATGATGTTTAAAGAGAGGCGCTGCTGCCCAACCCTCTAGCTTGAAGTTCCCTCAGTCGACACCCTCAGGAAAGGAAGGGGTGGCTTATTCTATGCTGGAGTCACACGGCACCATTATATAGGTATACTTACATGTATATGTAAGTATGTCATTAGCTAAATTTTTTTATTTGAATTTATTCGCTGTGGTTTTATATGACCCAGTTTTCTTATCATGGTAATTTCACTGCTATATTCCAAACTTCAAATTAAAATACGAAATATTCAAGCAAATACGAATAGGGCGGAGGTATCCATACAGGCTTGTTTTGTACAAAGTCTTTATCTTGTAACATGGGGTCATGTTATTTGTATTAATTTAGGTATTAATGTATGAAGTTATTGATGCACTATTACTAATATCATTATTCAAAATATTTTGCAATATTTATTGTATAAAATTTTATTTATATATTTAAGTAATTTTTATAACTGTGTAGATATGTAAATATGTTTTCTGTTTTCTTATAATATTTATGTAGAACGTTTTCCTTTTTTTTTAAAGTTGTTTTATTTAATAGTGGTTATTTTAATTTCTTTTAAAACTGATGCAACCGTATAGAAAGATTCATGAAAGTTGTAGCGTTGTTATAAACAATTTTTTGTTTAAACAATTTTTGCACGCCATGTTTGACGTCATACTTTCGTGCAAGGTACCTCATAGGACATGCTTTAAGTGATATTATTGTGCAATTTTAATGTAATGGAAGTTGTTTAATAATGAAAATGAACAGTATCATAGAGTATTAAATGAGTATTATTATTTATATACTTTTATATGTCTAAGTTACAGTTAAAAGTTTAAATCGGTTAATTTTGAGGATAACGTCCTTGCTTCTATCACAATTTAAGATTTTGCTCCCTTAAATATAATACAAGTTTTCAATCTAAAAAATAAAATAATAATGGGACTATAAACCAACAGCGGAGTACACTTTATTGATTGCAAAAAGAATAATCAAAATCAGTTTAGAATCGGTTACGATATTAATACAACGTACGGCGTAATACGAGTATATACACAAATATTATATAATACTATCGATCCAGCATAGCTTTGTACGGGTAGATAGAATTTTCAAATATATTACGCTACGTAATACTATACTCGCTGATTATGTAGCTTTATATAGGTGAAAGAACTTTTAAATTAAGTTTAGTAGTTTTTAAAATTATTCATTACAAAAAAGCGAGCAATAAAAATTCTTGACAGTTTTAATATATATTTTTTTATTTTAATTTACGCAGGATATATGAAAAAAAAGAAATAAGAGCTTTTGTTTTCTCTGCTATGATTTTGAACAGATATTCAAGAATCATGATTAAAAGACTAAATAATATATTTAACTGTAAAATCAATCAGTAGTGATTTTTAATCTATGAACTATTGTAATTTATCGTAAAACGGAAAAAAAATACGATTTTATCGCTTCGATATAATACGAAAGCAGAATATATGTAGTCACAATTATGCAAATGCTTATAAATTCGCTTATTATTATTATTATAAATAAATTTAAGATATCCTAAATTTGTAACAATATGTGTGTACATGATATTGTCATACAATAACATATATTTTGCTCTGCTATTATATCGTGACGATAAAATCGTACGATATTGTAACGTGATATGCTACAATATCGTATAAGTTAGAAAATTGTAAAATAATATGAAAACGTACAAGACATGCTAAGGTCAAACGTTTCACATCGAGAATTCGCATTTACAACTTGGCGTAATGCCACACAGAATACGTTAGATTATTTAAGTATGTACTGGTATTTATATACATATATAGCCACAGCTCGCTTACAAATGTCATTTGTAAAGGAAGGCATGATGCTGTCTGTATGCCAGCGTGTTAACAAGGAATCATGATCCAAATAATTATAAGAATTTTTTTATACATCACCATTATTTCAGGCTTTTATTATCCAATGCTTAATATAAACCCCATAGACTTACAAAAAGTGCTTCTGACTTGGATCCATCAATTCTTTGCAACGTATCTAAGTAGTCCCTTTTGTCTTTAGGTATCGGTGTTTTTCTTATATTAATTTTATTAGTATTAAATTGTAATAGCATTTTTATTTTCCGACTTTAAAAATAGAGGAGGTTCTCAATTTTGTTGTATTTTTATGTTTATCGGCTTATAACTGACGGAAATATTATCATAATTCCGTTAGTTGTTAACCAAATTGTAAAGTTATTTTTTTACGTGAAAGGATATACTTACGTATTGGTCCTATAGGTATTTGATCTAAATTGGTTCAGTAATTTAATTTTTAAATCAAAATAGGTTTCGTATTTCATATTCGTTCAGAATTTACGTAACTTTTATTTCAACTCAACAAATTTATTCGCTCACTCCTATAAGTGAGCAAACAGCTCTAATGCAGAAAACGGAATTAATGGTCAGAGTCGTTTCCAAAATGGACCAAGGACACGATTCTCTTTCACTGAAGTCCTTGTACATTTTGGTTTAAAATAAACTGTGCTCATTTATCTTACTCCTACTAATATTATAAAATGTAAAATTTTGTTAAGATCCTTTGATATAATTTTATTACTTAATCACAGCGGGCGACTTTTGTATGGCGAGGAATTTTGTGTTATCCAATTTTAGGACGCTGTATAAGTACGCGTATAAAATAAAATATATGTCAAAATTCGCACGTTACGACTTTGGTAAAGGGAAAATTAATTATATAAAGTATGTACTTATTATAATCTTACAATTGTAGTTAAAAACCGATGATAAAGAAGGTTTTGAAACTTGGGAAGCAAACGTAGTAATTTTGTAACTACGAGCAAACGCAGGCCTTGTAGAGCCTTCAATTAGATGGAGCGACAGTTGGTGAAAGAATCAGACGAATCACTGTATTTTGTAAGTTTGTGTAATTAATTATTCATTTTGTTTGTATACATATTGTTAATATTTATAATCTGTATCATTCTTTGAAGGAAATACATACAATAAAGATTTTTCATTAATTTAATATTCAGCAAATATCGATTAATTAATCGATTTTTAGGTGGTAGAGCCACGCTGTAATACCATAAGATATTGCAGCATGAATGGGCCGGCTCGACCGGGGAAGTACCACACCCTCACAGAATACCGACGCTAAGTGGTTGCACTTTCAGTGCGATCACATTCCGTATGGTGAGTGAGGGAGTCCGGAGGCCCATCCCATACCCATCCCATACCCATCCCTTTCCTATTCCTAAAATCCTTTCCCCAACCCCGTCCCCCTATCTTACAACACGCAACCATGGCAGTGGAATTAAAAAAAAATAACATACCCCAGGGAGGTACCAGTAACCATGTTGCTGGAGAATCCTCTCTCGAGCAACCACGCTCGGGCTGCCCTGCGTATTCTGGGGGGGGCAAAATTCCGCTCTTTGGAACCAAGGGCAAACGGAGCAAGATTTCTACGGCATCCCCTTCGCTCAATGTGAGCTTCTGCAATATCAGGGGATTACACTCTAACCTAAACGCTGTCCACCACCACCTAGAAACGGCGCGGCCGGCATTGCTCTTTCTAACGGAGACACAGATATCCTCTCCAAACGAAACTTCATACCTGACGTACCCGGGCTATAAACTTGAACATTGTTTTGTTTCGCGTGCCGGTGTATGCGCGTATGTCAGAGAGGATATCTGCTGTCGCCGCCTTGGAACTCTTGAAGGTACGGACCTGTCTATTTTATGGCTGCGCGTAGACTGCAATGACCATCCTCGAGTCTATGCATGCCTATACAGGTCCCACAGCGGTAACATCGAAACCGACCAACTCATTGAGCACGTCCAAATGGCTACAGATTCCCTGCTCGAACAGATTCCTTCCGCTGAAGTCGTGATTCTTGGCGATTTTAATGCCCACCATACCGAATGGCTTGGTTCACGTACAACCGACTACGCGGGAAGATCTGTTCATGACTTTGCTTTGGCTTATGGTCTGACGCAGCTTGTTTCCTCGCCTACGCGAATACCTGATGTGTTGGACCATTCACCTTCACTGTTGGACCTTCTGCTGACCACCCACCCAGACAACTATGTGATTTCCGTCGAAGCTCCGCTTGGATCGTCGGATCACAGTCTGGTGCGGAGCGAGGTGCC